TTTTTAATTTAGATTAAATTTTTTTAATCATCTTTGTGTTAATTTCCACAACCAATTAAATTATTTTATTTGATGAATTTAAAAAAATTAATGTTTAATTAAATTTTGGAGAATCTTATAAAAATGAAATACTAAGTTAACTTTACACATTTCTTTATAATTATATAGCAAATAATATCATTAATTAATATTAATATCTCAAATTAATTTAAATTCATTTAGTAACAGCCTTATGAAAGAATAGAATTATAATTGTATCAAATACTTTATTTAATATACAGAAATATGTAACCAATAATTTTAAATGATTATCTCTAATATTTATGTGTTATTCATATTTCATTATATTTTCTAATCTGAATTGCTTTTGAATTGTAATCCCAAGTTATTAAATACTAAGCATCATCACTCATACATCCAAATATATAATGACTTCCAAATTCAATGGATTATTCAGACTTAAACTCACCATTTAATTTTGTCCTTATCAAATTCACATACTTGCCATTCTTATTTACAAGCAGGCAATTTGATTTTATATGCTATTAAGGAAAGAAAAAGTAATCATCAATTCCACCTTTAACAAGAATATCTTTAGTCTTTGAATACTATTTATTAGTATTATTCATTTCATAAACATGCATTTATTCTATCCCATATGGTTAAAAAGTGAATTGATTATCATTTATAAAGCATATTCTATAACCATGTTATTCAACCTTTATCTTTTAGATTACAATCCATTTAGAATCCTATTATGATTGTTCTATTATTAATATTTATTCATCTTGTCCGCATGAAATCACTTTATTCTATTGATAATTCAAACTTAATCCACATACCATATTATTATGATCTTTGATAGTTTATTAACATAGCCATTGATTCTACTTGTTCCAAAATTTAATAGTATGATCATAACTACCTGAAATGATCAAATCTTCATTATTATTCAACACTAAACACGATATCTCATTATTATTTCCATTTAATTTCTATTAGCAAATCCATTAATTGCTTTAATTCATAGACCATATTATAATTGATTTATCACTTCCAGATATAAAGTGATTAGATTTATTCATAAAGTTTAAAGTGGTTACATCATTTGAATGTTCAGTTAGAAGTTGAGTTTGTTTCAACACTTCTTATTTGAATTCAAATACTTTAATTTATTTTCTACATCCAGCTATTACAATTGAATAATCTTTATTAATAGCTATTGCATTGCAATAAAGCTATTTAATTGAATTATTATGTATTAATTTATAAGTGAATTGTTTTAGTATTAATTAAGGAGATGATTGAATAATTGTTTATTAAGTTTAAATTTACTTAGGCTATTGAATTTATAATTTCTCAGATTATAATTATTAATCCTTAGCTTAAATTGTTTCTTCAAATGATTATTTTTGAATCTTCTCTTTTTCATTAGTTTGATTGAATTATTTCTGGAATTCTTAATTTAGAAATTCTTCTTTCTTTTTTACTTGATTTTCAATAGAAACCTTGATTAAAGATGTTACTTAATGAATCAATTAATTATTAAATTATTAATTGTGGATATTTGGTTATGATAATTAAGGTAATGAACTATTTTATTAAGTATCTCTTGATTATTATTATTATTGTTGTTATTGTAATCTATAATTAAATAACTATTCAATATCATCCATAGTTTAGTCAAGTAAAACATCAATTCTATTGAATGAAGACTAAATGAATGAATAAATCTTTAATACTTATAAATGTTCCTCGAGTTAGGAACAGCAAGTTTCAAATTAAGCCTAATATTCCTTCTTAAGGTTTTATTCGTTGATTTCAACGTTTTCTATATTGTTAAAGATCATTTTAATTATTTTATTTAGATAAATGATATTATTAATTAGAATGAATTTAACATAAAAAATCGTATTTATCAGCATGAAAAATGTATAATAAAATAGATATCATGTGGATTTTGGAATATTGATTTTGCATCAAATACGCCTGATGATTTTTTTATAATAATTGACAAAGTATAACTAATTTTTAATTCGATTTCTATTTGCCTACCTAAAATTAGTCTTTTCAGTATTGATTTAAATAAATTTTTAAATTAATTCATTGATTAAACAACTTTCTAAGAATTTTTAATTCTTTAGAGAAAATAAAAAATTGTTAAATATTATTGGATTAGAGAAAGTTACAATAATTGATTTGGGTGGTTCTTATGATGGAGTTGAAGAAGATAAAGATCATTTTTTTCAATAATTGATGTATTTTAAAAAGCTATAATGATAAAAGATTTCAAGCAACTCATATTAATTTTCATAACAAATATCCTGTTAAGTACTCATAAAATAAAAATTCTAATATTAAACTAATTTTTATTATAATTATTTGAAAATTACCTTATTAGGAATTAAAATGTCTAAAATTAAGGAAGCTTTTACCTTTCTGCTTTTGTTATTAAAAATTTTAATATTTTGGTACACTTTATCATTCTGAAGAGTCAATATGAGATTATATTTTGTTGATAAAAATAAATGATTCAATTAAATAGAACTTAAATAAATAGTCACCTAAAAATTGCTAATCTAATATATGCTAGACAATAATGATATCTTACATGATGAAATTTATGGAATAGAATCATAAGAATTGCTAAAGGGATATTTAAGATAGAAATAGATGCAGATTAGATCAGTTTCATTTATAAGTTAGAAAATTAGATTTAGTTGAGAGCTTGATTATAATATTCGAAACTAGATATTCTGAGAAGTAAGAATAAAGAGAAGATTCATAGGCCAAACAATGTCTTAATTTCTTAAATACTTAAAAAAATAAGGTGATTTATGATTTTATGACTTATAATAATGTGAGGTTCAAAAATGGGATTAATCAAGCCTATTCTTTAAGACCAATAAGACATATATTTTTATCAATTAGTAAAAGAGTTAAAGTGTTCATTGAGCTTAAATTGTTTTATTTATAAAATCCCTATTAGCTAAACTATAAAGGATGTTAGTATATCCTTTTATAATATTACACTAAAGTTAAATTATCTAATTCATTTAAGGCACTTTCTCAACTTAAAGAAAATAAAAAGGAACTCTTATACCAGAGAACTGTATATCCCTTAAAAGATATATATCGATGAATTTATTGGATTATTGGAATGTTATGTGCCTTGGTTAAGGAAAATTACAGAAACATTACTTTAAAAAATTTGAAGTTCTGTAGCTCTAAATTAGCAGATAGATTGTAGTTAATTAAGAGAAGAGAAGATAATTAGTTCGTGAGGATAAGAGGAAAATGAAGAGTATAATTTTGAAGATTAATGTATTGTATACTATAAGTGGGAGCTTCATTTTATTTTATCAAGAGAATGAGAGCAAGTGAGATCTTGAGGCACTCCATCCTTTCCATACATTAATATGGGGGATAATATCCTTTGGTTTTGGTAATTGGAATTTTAGCTACTTGACTTTACATGAACTAAGAGCTAATAAAGTGAAATTCATTTTTGAATAAATATGATAAGCGAAAAATTGTAGAGAAAGGACTAGAATATTAAAGGTTACGTGTAATATAATAAGGTGAGATTTGGAAATAGATAATGATTTTATCAGTAAAAGAAAATAATTGATTATAAAAGTTTAATTCTTTAAAATAAGAACTTCAGATTGGGTGCACTTAATTCTAATTTTGAATTTCGAAGAATCTTAAATAAAAGAGAATTTTGGATACCTTCAGAATAACTAATATATTATAAGTTTAAGGAAGGGATCAATGGATTTAAATACAATGTGAGATATAATAATGAGAAAAGAAAGACTACAATACAATTGTTACTGAAAAGAATGTGATTATAAAATGTTACAGAAATTCTTAAATATTTATGAACTCAGGGTTTATAAAAAAATGTGAATTTATATTAACAAAAGAAGTTAAATCTTATGTTATGATAAACTGTTACTAATAATTACAGAATTTATAAAATGGTGTCTCAACTAGAATTTCTTCTAGATGTAGAATATATTTTAACATATCAATTAGAATAGAAATTGCAAGAATTAATTTATATAGCTAACAAGAAAAAGTATAAATAAGAGAAAAATCTAACTTTATTTTAGAATAAGAAAAAAAAATCTAAAATACATAGATTGAAAGAGATAATAAGGAAGGAATATATGTGTAGATTTGGAACTAACTAAAAATTAATATTGAGTTAATGTATTAGAAAAATTATGATAAAAATGAGGAGCCCACATAAGTGGAATCTCAAAAAAGACCTTAAAAAAATAGAATAAACTTAAACAAAGGTTAATTGTATGAGAATTTTGAGGAAATCAATTACGAAAATCTTTTACATAGTAGCTTAAAAGGAATTATCAATAATATTTAATTGATAAGAGGATTTGTTTTACAAATTGAAACATAACAATTAGTAGATGATGATGAGTATAATTAAAACTACAAGGCAAAAAAGTACTATATATAGATATTTCGAATAAATATAATTGAGAAAATATATAATTATTATTTAACTTAATGTGGAAAAGAGAATTGATGAATGGAGAAGAATAATACTCTAAAAAACTTATCAGATATTGGTCTACTCAATTATGGATATTATGGAAATGGCTGTCATTTAGACTTTTAATTATAATCAAAGCCTAACCAATAATTTCATTTTTGGTTTCTTATAAATCTTCAACCCAATTTTGAAAGGATACAAGTAACCTTGATATTATTCATTCTCATTAAATGTAATCAAATGAGTAATACGATATCATATTGTGTTGAATTTCATTCATAAATAGATTTATTTAGTTCTCTTCAATGGAGTAGATATAAGTCTTAATGATATTAATTATTTTTTAAGAAATTAAGCTATTTAAACTTGTTAATTTATAAAATACGCTTTCTTGGATACCTTTCATCATTAAGTTTTTAACCAAATTTTATATAATTAAAATAAATTTTATAAATAGCTTTTTCTTTAAAGAAATATATTTCTGATTTTTCATGTTTAATCTTTTAAACTTTATATGATTTCAATTCTCATAGTCAATAGCAATGAAAAAAGATTTTGAAATTTTTAATTCTGTGAAGAACTATTGTAATATTTGTTCAGCATAATCAATAATTCAGA